TTACAGTTGCTCACACAGTGTTGAGAAACTACTAGCTGTATTTAAAGAAAAAATGGGAAAGTTATTTCTAATTGGGTCCTCTTCAGAGTGTTATAGAATTAAAAATTAATTATAAAACTGTAAAATGTCACTTGCTACTAGTACTCATTTATTTTTGAATACTATACTTAATTTTTAAAATTATGCAGTCAATATTTTTTGCCAATTTAGAAGTTGCTATTGTCACTTTTTTTATTATGATATTAACTGTGTCTGTAAAATGAAGGTCTGATTGTTATAGGATGCAAGTAATTGGAAAGCATGCTTGGATGTGTACTTGTGCATCCACATCATAGCTTCAGTTCTCTTGTGCTATGCACAGCAACCTGGACAGGGAAATTACAGTGTTTCTCTTCCTCCTGTGCTAAAGCTCCTCTTGAGACCCTTTTTCTGTAGTTTTTAGTGCAAGTAGAGTCACGTAAATCATTCCTACTGAAGATGTTATGGCTGTATAGATGGGCCATTTGTGTACTTAAAATGAAGTAGAATTTATTCCCTAAGACATGGCACTTAGATGGTGAAGGGTTGTTCACCTGATATGTGTGATGTGCACCTTTTGCTTGTTTTCCCAATAATCAACTTCTCCCATCAGTAAGACTTTTCTAAATAAACTACAGCCCATCTCTGCTAAGTCTGAATGATACACTTTTTTTTGTCTTATTACCTATGAAATTCTATACAATGTTTTGCAGTAAGAACGAATACCTTCTGTTCTTAGTTCTTACTTCTGTTCCGCTATAATGAGAAAAGAAGTAATTTTGAAAATTATTGTAAAGTAAGTCCAAAGAGAGTAGGACTTGGCATTTGTCATAAAATCTGCATGTTAATAGATCAAAAGTCTTTCACTATCCTAGTGTAACTGACATTTTCAATAGAACACATGCGGAGGAAAATAAGACACAAATACTAGGAAATTAACAGCTGAAAATGGGATATTGATTTGAACTGCAGTCAAACATGGTTTGGTTTTCTTTCATCTAATTTTGAATCATTTTTTTGTGGTAGGCTCCTGAGTCTTTTCCTATACACATATGTTTTCAAATCCTGACTTGCTTAAGGTCAACTTAAGGCAGTTGCTTAAGGCAGTGGTTTTTCCTTAAGATCTACCAATAGTTGTTTGCCTGTCTAAAGCCAGCACATCAGGATATCTTGGTCATTCAAAACTACTCAAGCTCCAGATATTCATTTAAGATTGGCATGTTAAATGGATAAGCATAAGGATATTGCCTGTGAATTGTTTGAATTTTTAAAAGACTCGTTCAGAGGAGTTGCCTGAGTGCTCATACAGGTGTTTAATTTTGACACTTAGAGCATCCAAAATTCATTTAAAGGTATATACTCTTTTACAGTCAAGCGTTGCTTTTAAACCTATTTAACTGATCAAATGTCAGGTCTGGACATGCTAAAGCAGTTTTTGATGGCACAGGGTAGGCAGGTGCCCTGCCTTTTGTCTGCTTTGTCAGAATATGCCTGAGAGGTGTTTCCTGCTGTGCTACCCAGTGGCTACAGAGCTCCATGACCAGAGATCAGGTGTACTCCAAACTGTTTTTTCTACAGTTATTAATAACTTTAAGTTGTGTGATGAAAAAGTATATAGTAGGACAACTTTGGCCATAATTGTTGCTCAGTTTTTCCTTTTCCTTAAGGAGAGTTTGAAATCCAGTGGAGTCAGTCTGGAATTGCCCTGGAGCACTTAGAACACTTAGACTAAATCTTTTCATTACTCAGATTCCTGTTGTAATCCTAACAGCTACAACACTATAGTCTTTTGTTTTGCAAGATGAAACTCTAAGTATGAAACTAACAAGATGAAACCAACAAATAACAAACCTGATCTTGCAAATGGAAAGCATGAATGAATATTTTTTTGGAATAAAGGAGTACAAAGGGAACTTCTGGCATTTGAGAGAGGTAATCCTGGGTTTGGCATAAAACTACATAGGTTCAAAGGGATTTTGGCGTACTTGTTCATGTATTGTTACTGAGTTTTCTCTGTATGACTAAATAATGATTAAATAAAAATTGATTTACAAATCTCTGCATCAGTACTGTGGCTTACTTATGATCCCCAAACACATCTCAGGGCTTTCTTGATGCTATATTTTATGTTTATGAATGCTATATTGTAAGTTATACAAAATAGGTCTTGTAAACTATTCATTGTCATCTAATGAAACTTCAGTTATAGCAAGAATTAAATTATTAAATATATATTAAATATTAAATCATTCTTTTAGCCAAGTGTCACTAGAGCTCCTTTTCTGTGGATTAGTATTCCTCTGAAACTCTTGTTTCTTGACTGTCACATTTACCTGTGTACACAAAGAATGTTCATCTCTGATTCATAATTCTAAAACTTCCCTGCAACACATCCATTTTTATTTTAAGAAATTAGTTTAAATACAGTATTGTGTTTCATCTGGTTAAAATTTTACATCTACGTGGAAGAATTTTGCTGAAAGGAAAGGAACTATGGGCATTTTTCTATGCATTTTCATTCCACCACTTGTTTTTGGATGGAGAAAGTTAAGGGTTGTTTCTCTCAAGTGAAATAAAAAAGATCTAGTTAGAAAAGAATATGAAAAATGTTTGATAATATTATCTCGCTGCTGTCTATAATATAGAAAACAAGCTGTTTTCAATTGTAGTAGGTTATTTTTATGAACTACTTGTAGATATACATAAAAGTACCCTTGGGCTTCTGGAATTTGATATGACAGTCTCCTGCAGGATGGTGCTTGTTTGACTTTATTGTTTGTGACTTATTTTTTTCTTTCAGCACTTGGGTTTTAAAGAGCTGTCAAAGTGTAACAAGTGTAAGGGGGTTTTGGTTGGGATTTTTTTCGGGGTTTTTTTTTTGTGTGTGTATTTGTTTTTAAAGAAATCATGTTAGGATCCTTTAATTTCCTTTTGTAAGTTTGAACTTATGGCCTTCTTTTTATGCCACGCTTACGTCTTTCTAAACACTGTGGATGTTAAACTGTCTGTTTTTCTTCTTCTCTATTGTTCCCTTTTAGCAAGACCAGTATTTCATCAGCATATCCTTGTCCCACTTCCTTTACCATGTGCTTCTTCAAATTGAAGCTCATTTAGGGTAATACTGTGCATCTTGGACGCACAGGCCCTTATCTGTGCTGACAGGCAAACAAAGGATCCCTTAATACTTTTCACATATGTGGAAACTACACCTATAATCACACTGAAGATGAAAATAAAGTCATTAAATGTCTTATTACATGTCATTATTTATCTTATCACATCAGCCCTCAGCAATTTACCAGGCTTAGGATATTTGGGACCAAAATGGGTCTAATTAATGGGCAGTGTACTTGTTTATTTTAGAATTTCCAACTGTCTTGTAGGTGACAAAATCTAATTATTTTGATATTTTATTAAGTGGTTTATCAGCCATTATATAATTACTTCTTCTGAAAAAAAGCCAAACCCAAAACAAAGCAATCTGAAAATTATGGCTATCAGAAAGGTAAAGCCTGTTGATATTTTTTTGTGAGAACAACAATTGCCATGTAAGTCTTGAGGAAAAAGAAACAGATGAAATAGTACTGTGAGACTATAGTGAATGTTGTTTTTCCTACTGTGTATAATTATATGTAATTAGATCTGTCCTTTTTTCATTATGCTGTCTCAAAATTATTTCTACCTATCTAGGTACTGAATGAACTTGTAAATAAGACAGCAAGATCAACATAGTCTGAAGAAATAATTAGTAACAATTTCTGTTAAATTGTTCTGTTCAGGCTAAATCAATAGTAATGGAGATGAATAAATGGGTGGAAACCTTGAGTAATTACAAATCCTTTAAATTATTCTTGAATTAGAAACCAGGAGAAAAGAACATATTTAATTGCTTTTAGAGATTCATTAGAAGAGAACTTTCTGAATTAACTCTTAGTTCTTTCTTCCCTAGAATACACCCTTTTAGGGAACTGGTGTTCTGTTTCCTCTACCTTGTTGAACTTTTCATCCAACTTGGTTAGTTAGCCTAGACATACAAGCCCAGGTACTCAGTTTTTTCCCCAAAAGATGAGTTACAAACATTGCTGTGAAGAAGAAGACTTCTTCTTGTTCTGTTAAATAACTTCTCCACACTGGTTTCAGACTGCTTATTTTTGGCACAATTCTTATTTTTCATCTCTCTAAGAAGGAAATACTTTTTTTGTGTTCTGTATAGTTGAGAGGAAGTTTTGAGAAATACTGAATTTAACTTACTTGATGAAAATGTACCAGTAGGTTAAGATGGGGCATGTAATTAAAAAAAAGAATTTAAATCTAATAGTCTGTTCTTTAATTCTTCTGTACCATAGAAAGTTCTACTTGGACATGTGAATATACTGACTAGATGGTACTTTTTGCATTATTGGTTTTAATTTTAGTTACAGAAGTGTTTCCTTATGGACTTTTGATATATATTCAATATCTATAAAAAATCTGTTGTCTTCACAGTGCTTTTCTATATTTGTAACTGTGGTATTGCAGAAGAGTTATTAGCTTTATGATGCAGCATGAGGAAGAGGAAATCCTTAAAGGGCGAAGAGGTGTCAAGATTGACTCTAAAATTACTACGTCTAAATTAGAATTAAGCAAAATGAATTGGGAAAGCAGGTACTCTATGAATCACCATGGAAATGTGAAAGTCAGAGAATCTTAATCTAGAGAGTCCTGCTGAGACTTGGGTGCCACTCAAAACCTCATGCTGCAGTTTTAGTTGTCTGGACCTTGAGAAGTACAATTAGAAAGATTCTGCATAAAAGCATTTGCTAATTGACCTAAATCCTTTCTTAGTATAAACTATCACTGGAGAAGACCATTCTCAATCAAAAGCCGTGAGAGATTGCCTTCTTAGTTAGTGTTTTGGATTTATAGACCTATACTGAGAGGTTGAGTCAATCTTTAAAATAAATGGATGACTTAATTTTGTTTAACCTGTCTCCTTTCTTTAGCTGGAAAGGCAACTCGTACTGCAGAACCTGATGAGAGAGAGACAAACAGCCATGCAGATTGCTTGGACACGAGAATTTCTCAAATATTTTGGGACATTTTTTGGACTTGCTACTGTAGTTTTAACAACTGGGTATGAAGTTTATTCCCTAACAGAAAATATAAATGTATTACATTATATAGTTATATTTTACTGAATCTTCCTTTTGCATTACAACAAGTAGTTATTTTTATTAAGTAATTTCTCTGAGATTGATCAAGTGACAAATGGACTCTGAATTCTGTCTGCTTCAGAATGTGTTTTGGTTATATCTGTACTGTAGATTTATTTAAAAGCAGAGACAAGAGCTGACAATAAGATGATATATCTGAAGTACCAAAAGTGCAGTATAAAATAAAAGTTGTATGTGGAAGAGGAGAGAGTATTTAAAAGCCATGCTATTTTCTTGTCTGCACTGACATGTAATGAATTGTTAGTGTGTAGCACGTCCTCCATCTGGATTTTTTTTAATGCACTGAACAAGTGGACATATTCTGAAGTCTACTCACTTAAATTTGAATCAACTGACCCAAGGGGAAAAAAAGCCTGGCTAATAAAGCTGTATTGCAGAGGGAAGAACTTGCAACCCAGTTGTAACAACTAGTACTTTTGGTTGATAATATGTTTTTCTTGTGCTGTAAGACGTTTAGAGGGAATGTGAGAAATATTTGTGATTTTATGTACGTAGTGAAGATTAAATGCACCTTATGCATTATCGGTTCTCTGTAGACTCAGATGCATTTGGAAATGAACACAGAATCTACATTGTTACATGTTGCAAGTGGCTGAGTATATGTGACTGTACATGCATGCTAAATGAGTTTGATCATCCCATATTTGTTAGATATATTCAAAAATCACTATTGCATTTAAAAAATACTCTTGGGTTGGGAAAGAAGGCAATTTCTGAGGAAATTAAGACTTCCTCTTTGATGAGAGATTCTAGAAGGATACACAAGTCCTAGACAGTCAAGGTCAGTCTAAAGTAACAGTGCTGATGTGCTGAATATCCTAAGTAATTTTTTTATTTTTTCTTACACAGAGCAGTAAAAAGGAAGAACCCAGCAGTTTTACTGCCAATACTTCCCTTAAGCTTTGTATTTTGCTATCAATATGATATGGGATATGGGACACTGTTGCAAAGGATTAAAGGTATGTAAATCTGTTCTGTTTTCACATAGAACCAAGCTACAGATAACTTGTGTTTTTTAAATGGCTGGGAGAAAATTTGTAATAGATAATTGGGGGTGGGGGGTGGTGACAGAAATATTATGTCTCATTTTTTCCTCTCTGTTAAAATCGGATATTTTGCTAGTCAGGGGTACTCACTGTTGTTTTACAGCATTTCTTTTCAATTAAGACTGTCATTTTCTCCTCTTGCTTCTAAATATTTGAATGCTAAGGTTGTAAATACAGCTAATGTAAGAATTGCATATTTGGGAAAAATGACAGATGCAGTGATTTCCTTCAGTATTCCACTCTGACACTGTTTTTTGGGGAAAGGATTAGGGATTATAAGATAAAGGAATACAGACATGGATCATGGCTTTACACCTTCATGACCAAACACAGCCATCAGCTGATAATCTTACTGCAGTGTCCTGCTAAGACTGAAGAAAGCTGAGTGGGGTCACTTACAGACCCCACTATGAAAGTGGGGTCTTGCCTCATAGTTGTCCCTTGTCTGTGTGATTCAATTATATACACTGTGTTGAAGTTTATGGAGGTGCATTTATGTTAAGTCTGATTCCTAGTGAAGGAGACTGGCTCAGTGAGTGTTGACTGTAAGTGAACGCAGCATTTGCCTGTGGCTTGTCACCTTCACAAATTGTCTTAATTAACTAGCTTGGTTGTCTTGTCTGCTACTGGCACAACCATATTGAAACAAAATAAAAATCTGTTTCAGTTCTTGGTCTTAGCCTAGCACTTAGGTTTCTGTATGCTTCATTGAAAATAGTGCTAGGTTAATTAGACAAAATCCGCTGTAGTTCCTGCTTCATATAGGTGCAAATACATTTAGGTGATACAGGAATGTATACTTGGGAACATTTCCTCAACAGCATTAAACAAAATTCTTCAGATTTTAATATGAAGAGCCAGGTAAACATAGGGAAGAAAAGGTAGTTCTTGGAAATCAAAGTATTGAAAAGGAGGTTAGTACACATAGAGCAAAACTAGATCTTGGAATTTAGGGTTTGTATTTAATGTGTTTACTGTGTACCATGTGGTCCTGTATAGGTTGAAGAGGGGTAATGTGGTATCCTATTGCTTTCCAAATAGAGGTCATCTTCATAACTTCAGATCCATTAGGAGAACTTCAGCAGTATACAAGGCTTGTGAAAAGGTTTTGCAGAAAAGAAACTGTGGAGCCAAATAGAAAATAAATGGAATATGCCAAACTAAGTCTGTCTTTACCAGAATTTTTTTCCCAAAAGAAATGTGGTAGATCCAGTATAAATTCGTGAAAGCATTTGATGTGGTTTTACCTAAAGATCAAATTAGTGTGAAAGACATCAAATTAGTAGACAGGTGTGATAGGTTGACTAGGTGTGATAGGTTCCGTCTCACAACATCGAAATCGAAATTAAACCAAGACAACAGGTAAGCATGGTGGTAAAGAAATTATGTCAAATTTTGTGCTTGAAAAGAAAGGTTAGGCTTCAGCAGGGTTATTAACAGTATTCCTCAAGATTTGGTATGGATATTCATTTGTTTTATAGTTTAAATTATGAGTAGGTTATCCTAACCAAATTTTTGGGAGACCAACTTGATTAAGTTCATCAACAGAAAAAAAATAAACTGTTAGTGCAAGAAGAGCTGATGGTCTGAAGAAATGAGACAACAAAATAGGGTTAATTTAATAATGTCAGCAAGAAACTAGGGGCTAATAGGGATTTCTAACACCAGAGCTCACCAGATGGAAATGGTAGAAAAAAGGAAAACTTGAAGGTGCCAATGAACACGGAATGGGTGTAATCCAACAGTGTGATGAAACTGAGAGCTGAGCAAAGTCTAAAAATACCAAGTGAACTTTCCTATTGTTACAGCATGGTTGAGGTTGGAAAGGATCTCTGAAGGTTGTCTGGTCCAAGCCTCCTGCTCAGACAGGATCATCTATAGCCAATTGCCCAGGAAAATGTCCTAAAGGCATTTGAATATCTCTGGGGATGCATATTTTACAACCTTGGATCAAACAGAGAACAGATGGGAAGGAGCAGGAATATAATAACTTCTGTGGAAATTTATGTGTAATTTAGATAATTTCTATAAAGGGAATCTGGAATTATAAAGAAAAGCTAAAACTATTAGGGAATGACGAGCTGCCTTGCAAGAGAAAAAAAAAGTGATTAATTTGTTTAGCTTTGTAAAAAGACAAGAGATTTGGGTCTACAGATCCTACTTACAGGATAGGATAAAGGAAAGTAAGAGAAGGCAATTAAACTAATTACCAATATCAGCACTAGATTAAAAGGAAGTGGAATAGCCTGGATGAATCTGGTCTGGAAATCAGGTTCAGGAGTTCATTTTTATTTTATGGTTAAAATTATGTAGTTGAAGAGAAGGTTTTATGACACAATTGACCTGCAGCCACAATGCTTATTCTCAATACTCAATTGATCCCTGTGTTCACTTCCATGCCTTCACAACCACTTTTCTGCTTGTCTGTCTATTCTGTTGGTCCATGTCATGCTTGATCTCTCTGGTATAATAATGAACCTATGCACCATTCCCTTTATTGTTCTCTCTATTGGTCCTTTTCTTTCAGGATATACCTATTATCAAGCTCATAGGCAATTCCCTCTCCTAAGATAATCTGCAATTATTTCTGTGTTGCACAGTGAACCTTGTATCTGAACCACCTTGATCACATAGGTCTGCATCTGCTGCCTTTCAACCTTTGGAATAATTTTATGCCCCTGGAAGGTTTCACTGTTCCTCTTTCATTAGGCATTTTGTCTCTGATCTTGCTTACAGTTAATTTTTTCTTCTGTCTCTAGCTTACTTAACAAAAAAATTATCTAATTATTTTAGTATTGTTGTACACTGAAATATTGGAAGGGTATTTTTTTATGATTTATAGTTTGGGCTAATTAAAATCCAAAACTGAAGACATGGGAAATACCTATTTAGAGTTCTGCTTGTGCTGTTGGAAAGCCCTGAGTTTCCAGGGCCGAGTATCAGGCCAGTATCTTCTGGGTATGTCAGGGTTACAGAGCAGCCATCAAACTATCTTTTCTAAAACTCTGAAGACACGAAGAATCAGTCATTGACCTGCTGTCTGTGTTCTTGGCCTTGCTATTTTGCTTTTCCTCCCGGTCCAGGCACACACTGCTGGTGTTTTTCACACAAATTATTAGAGGAGGGGATGGATTTTATGGCCAGCCTCTAATTGCACAGAACTTCTCCACTAAGCAGTGGAACTCTGGCTACCTTTTCCAAGATTTGGATAGCTGAGTCCTTGTGTCCTGAGCAGTGAGGGGGCAATGTCCCATAGTACGTGTGAGGGACACACACAGAGATTAGCGTAGCAAAGATCTCTTGCTATTTCATAATTAGATGCTATATGCAAATGACTGACACTGTGGGAGTGGTAACCATTGTTGGATATTACCAATGGTCCCAAGCACTGCAGTACTATAAAAATTACAGCTGGGACATGTCAGCACTCAGACCTGTTTTGTGGAATGACTGTAATCTTGACTGCGTAGCAATATTCAGTCAGGCTGATCACACATAAATGCAGTTTCAAACCATTGCTGTAAGGATCATGAAGCTGGGACTTCAGGCACAGATAAACAAGATTGTTGGCATTGTCCCAAATGGCATCAGCCAAAACAAATGCATTCTTTGCCTAATCTTCATCTCTTATATCAAAATCAGTCCACCACAACCTATGTATGATGTTCAGTCTGTGTCTTTGTTTTTTGGATGCTCTGTCCTAGATGTTTTCATTCCAGCCTTACCCAGAGCACTCTGCACTCTACAACTTTTCCTGGCTATGCTTCATGTGTAGGCAACTGTCTTAGCAAATCTTCTTGTGAGCAGTGTGCTTTGACCAATGCTTCTTCAAGTGCCGTGCTGCCTGCATTCTGACACCTTTTAGGCTAGTCCTGAGGCACAAAGAAAAATTGTGTCCAAATATGGTACATCTGTGACACTGTGTACAAGATTACTTGTTAAAGCTTATGTGTACCTTCATGTGTATGTCTGATCCACTTTCTTCTCAGATTCCCAATTACCCCACCAGTCCAAAATTCCTTAGAGACAACTTTGCTAGTATATTGACATCAGCTTCTTTGTAAAATACATAGCTATGACTTGCTGTTTTGCTAATGTGGTCCAAACAAGAATGGCTAAATCAGTTTCTTAAGGTTTTTATTCCTCTTTCCTTTGCTTTCTAGTTGTAAGGCTGAGGAAATTAACCTTTTTTTTTTTTTTTTTTAAGGCGAAGCAGAGAACATACTTGACACACAGAGCACCTTGCTAGAATTGCCGAAAGGACCTCTCACATTTGAAGATTTGGAGAAAATCAGATTATCTCAGAGCAATTGCTTTACAGAAAAATAGGAAGATGGTATTAAAGCTACATATCTGAAAAGTGATTATAGTACTGCATTTCAACATAAATAATTAAAATTTTGATAAGATTATGAGTGCTTGTAAAATCAAAATCTAATTAATTTTTAAGAATTAGTACTTTCTAAAGCAATTGGTTTCATGTTATGTGTATCTCTTAAAATAATTAATTATTCTGTAGTATATTTTGTTTATAAAAAGCATAGTAATATATATTGTTTATAGTGAAATACTGAATTTGCATTGACTATTCAGAGTCTGAAAATAACTTCCACCTGTAGTAAATACGTCTGGTACTGAACAAACTCAGTATAATCAATAAAGATATGGTGATTGGTAGTTACAAGTTTGTATAAATATATAAATTATATCAATAAATATGTACAGTTTTCAAATATATTTCAGGATACACAGCTCAATCTGAAGTCATGAGCAGGCAGTCATTTTCTCTGAAAAATAAGATACTTTTTATTTGCTGTTCTTTAGGCAGTGAACTCACCATCTCTGCTTCAAATTCTAGAATAAACAGCTTTTATCAGAAGTAGGTTCAGAAGTAAACAGATAACTTGCTAACTGTGTATTTTACTCTTGGGGAAAACTGCGTTAAAGTATGAGCAGAGATAGTTTCTGAAAAAGAGGAAACAAATTATGTAGCTATTTCCTGAATCTTTTTCATGCTTGTTCAACATTCTGAAACTCAGGATAATTTGTTTTTTGGTAATTGAAATCAGAGTTTCACTACTAAGATGAATATTAACTTCGGGTAACAGCAAGCAAAATTATTAATGTATGTTTTTATAATGAGTAGATCCAAGTGGCCTTACAAGTACTGAAAGACTGAGAGATTTTTTGCATGCCTTTAGTCCAGCATGGTATATACCGAGAATGTAGTTTTAGTATACTTTAATGTTCTGATGTCACACTTGGAAAAAAATTAATCTTTCTGTATTGGAAATCTTGTTTCGAAACAGATTATTTTGTGTTTTGGATGGAAATTCTTCTAGCATTAATCTAATTGTGGAAGGAAAAACAAATGCTAAAAAACCATTAAAAAATTAATTAAGCCGTAGTCTGTACTGACAATTTGTTGAGTTAAAAATTAAATTTCAGCTGGAGATAATGCCCCGAATATGATTTTGAAGACTTCTTAAGTAAACTTAGAATATTGTTGCAGTAAGACAGGCAAATATATAATGAAACAAAAGCATCTCAATATAGAAGAACAGTTTCCACAGTTTGACTTCTGAAAGTGCATTCAATTCTGCATTGTCATGTCTGTAATTGGCTCTGTCCTCTACATGTTAACAATGCATACAGTCTGTAACTGATTTCAAATGTCATGTTTTAATAGTCAGTGTAATAAAATGAACACAAGTACTCCACTTTCTTGTTTTGCTTTGAGTAACAGAGCATTTGCTGTGTTTTCCCCAAGTTCTGAAGCTCACTTTCCTTTAATTTTGAAGAAGCATTGCATGTTTTGATATCTGTAATTTATTACTACTCTTTCTTCCAAAAAAAGAAAAACAATTTAACCGGTCTTCTTGGGTATTTCTATGTCTCCGTCTGTGCCTTTTAGCCCACATTTTAATCCTATGAAAGACATTTTCGTAAGAGAATGATTTTAACAGAACGTGCAACATAAATCTTAGAAAATTAAGAAATTCTCAAGATCTGTGTGCTTGTGACTGATTCCTGGCTATGGCGTTTGATCAAAAGCCAGTGTTAAAGGGAGCAAAATAATGGTCCAGGTACCAGTGTTAGGGGATGATAGGATAGCTATATATTACTCCATCCAAACGAAATCTGACATTTTTTCTTCCAAAGTTTGGACTTAGATAACCTATTGCAAGACTCCGCACTAAAATGTGACAGAAATGGGGTAAGTTTAATTCAGTATTACACAGTATCAGTGAAATGTACCAAATTTATTAAGGAAAAGACTCTAAGCAAGACAGTCTAACCCAGAACTAGATTTAAATGGGCTACATAGAATGTGCCAAAAATCATGAAGGAGTTGAGGGCTCTTCACCTTTATTGCCTGTATTTTTATTGTTTGCTTTACTATTTTTTTTTAAAGCATGCTTTTGTTTTGAAGAAGCTTGTTCTTTGTTGCAGAGTTAGTTATTCTACTGCCAGTATATTAATCAAAATGCTTGCATATGCTGTGTGCAGTCATATCTGTCACATAGTGACAGATACAGAATAATTGAATGGTATAGCTTTCTTCAGAGGACAATGAAAGAAAACAGGAGCTCATCAGTGACAAGGTTTACTTGAAAATACATGTTTACAGCACAAGTTGCCTAATCATATTTGTTATGGAAATAAATAAAGCACCTAAAACATCCTGCTTCTTTCTGTCATTTGTGCTCAACTGGCCTCAGCTGTTAGACTTACTTTAATATATCACAACTGTCTTTGTTTCCATGAATCACTGGGGAAAAAAAGGAGAGCAACTCCAGAGGGAGCTTGTTCTGGCCTGAAGCACTGCTCATACCACCTTAATTCTGTTGGTTTTTTCTGGTTACAATGTCTGATAGTCATATATCCTGAATCAGTATCACTTGGAGCAGGATTGTTCTGGAAAAGTGAGAAGTCAGTCATTATTAGGATGTCAAAATTAAGCTGTTCTAATTATGGATATGTCTCATTCACAGAACTCAAGGAAGTGCATGCCACCTGCAAGCCACTTCACTCTTGTTTATCTGGTTGTGATAGTGTAGATGAGTATTGAGGAGAAACAAGCAAAGTCACTTTGGACAGTCCAATTTGAGCCCCTTCCTTCCAATAAGGAAAGTTGAAAATCACAACCCCTTCCTACATGCTTTATCATTATAGGGGTTATTTTATTGCTGACTGCGTGTCACTGCTTTTAAAAGAAGGGGAAAGTGCTTATGTGGATGTATACAAATAAGATCGTTTCTGCATTATTGTTTATTTTCTTAATTGACCTTGGATTTCATTATGCAAAAATGAATTAATTTCTTAACTTTTTAATTATGAGCTTTCTTAAGATTGAGCTTTTTTCTAAACTGCACAATCCTCTAATGAAGGTAACTGGGTAAGGTTTGTGCTTGGTCACCAATAACATTGAAGCAGTGGTATTTCCCATTTCTTGCAGAATCCTATATGGTACTAAGCAAACTTTAGAAATACTTTAAATTCTTTTTTGGACAGCTTTCAAAAACTAAGTTATCCTTGCAGCAGTGACTTGCATGAATTTGAAATGAAGTCTCTGGAAAATGTCTGATGAAATCAGTAAGTTACTTTCTGCTGATTTTCTTTGTCTGACATTTGGGAGTGATGGGAATACGGCTTTAACTCAAGGTATTCAAGGCTACTGAGATATCTTTAAAGGATATCTTTTATATTTAGCCCCCAGTTTTCATGAAACCTCCTTTACCTTGTATAAATTTTGTTATTGCTCAACAAATTAATAATTTAGTGCAAAGAGAGAAATAGTACAATTATCTTTACCTTTTTTAAAGAAATTAAAATATACAAAATACTTGCATTGAGCCAGTACACTGGATGTACTTGCCTTGAAACATCCTACAGATCATGAATGGAAATTAGTTTCATTGCTCTGTTGTTGTTTTTCCTTCTTTATAAAACAAACAGAAGCTATATAGTTATTTCAGATTTGTTAGGTTTATATTAGTAATCTTCTGCATGCTTTGTTTTGAATAGTAGTTTTTCTAGTCATTGCCCAACTCATGAGGTACTTCCCCTCTTGCCTTGTCCTAGTAGTGCTTTTTCACATTACTCAGCTTTCCAGTCACTGAAAACTGAAATCTGTTGTCTAGAAGACTACAGTCCATGCAGAAGTTCACCTTATGTGATGGTATTTTCAGAAAAAAGTCCATGAGACCAACAAAATCCATTTGCTCTCAAAATGCAAGCTGTAATTACCCCTGCACAACTTCTGTCTGCACCAGTATAGTAGGTAAGACTTCAAGTGAGGGAGGAACAGATCAAGGTTTTGTTCTTCAGGAATTTCAGATTACCAGCCTCCACTTCTGCAGATTGCGTCCTAGCAACATTATGGATGATGGTGCCTTCTGTTGAAATGTACCACTGTTTAAACACTGAAGACTGGACCAAAAAGAAAACTGCCCGAGTTTTGGCTGGGGTAGAGTTAATTTTCTTCAGTGGCTGGTATTTGCCTATGTTTCGGATTTGTTCTGAACACAGAGTTGATAATAGATGTTTTTGTTACTGCTGAACAGATAAGAGCCAAGGCCTTTTCTGCTTTTGGTACTGCCACGATGGTGAGTGGACTGGGGGTGCTTGGGAGAAGATACAGCCAGGACAGGTGACCCCAAATGACCAAAAGGATATCATGCTGGTATATGAAGTCAGGAGGGGTGGAAAGGAAGAAGGAGAAAGGAGGGTGCATTTGGAGTGATAGCATTTGTCTTTCAAACATGGCTGAACACCTGCCTGCCCACAGGAAGCACTGAACCAATTCCTATTTTTCTTGGTTTTTGTGTGTGCAGGTTCTGTTTTCCTTATTAAACTGCCATGGCTTTTCTCACTTTTCTTAGTCTCTCCCCAGTCATACTAATGGGGGAATGAGTGAGTGGCTATGTGGGGCTTGACAGCTGGCTGGGGTTAAACCACAACAACTTTGCTCACTATTTTAGCCCTCCACAGCCTTGTTCTAGATCCAGCTCAGTGTAAAACACACAAGCCCTCCTTGAAGAGGAGACTGGAGTCTGTAACTTCTCTGCCAGTACAACTGAATCATATACCTTTGTACACTAGTCTTCTCTGTGCTCTCCTTCTGGATTGAGTTTTGAGGGGCTTTTTTATATGCCAACAATACTCAAGGGCTTGAAAGCATAGCCCTCATGAAAAAGGATCTATTGACAACAGCTTCAAAGTATTTTAAGAGAGACGAACTTCTCTGGTTCTTCACGGTATGACTTTCTATAAAAGGTGACAGCAATCACTTTTTGTCCTATTGTGGTGGAAAAAAAAAACCAAAACAGCCACATGCCAACAAACAAATACAGAGGTAAAGTTTACTTTCACACAGTGCATAGTTCTTCATGGAGTACAAGACCACCACCCTTGTCAGGAAGAGCCTGCTGTGCTCTATTCAGGAGATACACAGATGTGCAGCTCCAAATTTCTAGGATGCCCACATTGGAGCCAGGGTATCGCTGGATGCCTATGGCTGCCACTGAACTCAAGCGTCCAGGACAACAAACCTGAAAGAAATCCAGGCTATGAAATCCCCCTTCAAGTATCCACAGCTGGAGTACTTCCTTGAAAGTGCATTTCTTTTACTTCACCTGTTTCTCTTTCCATGTCAGCCAACATTTTTAGGGCACAGAGGTAGTTACGGAGATTCTAGACCTGCAAGGGAAAAAACATTCGAGATTAAGTTTTTCACGTTTTCAAAGCAATACGAGAGGGCATCTGCTATCTAGCCACAAGCAGGAACAGCTGAGGCCCGGGGCCGGCGGAGGAAAAGGAGCGTGTCTCCGGGAAGGTGGGGAACGGGAGCGCGAGAAGGGAAGCTGAAGCGCACGGCGGAGTGAAGAGCCGCAACAGCCAGCAAGGGCAGGCAGAGGGGAAGGCGCTGCCCGAGGGCTCCTGGACGGCTGTTCCAGGCACAGCGACCTCCCGGCGGGAGACGACAGCCGCGGCACCGGGGAAGGGGAGGGGGCTCGGGGCCGGGGCCGGGGCCGGGGCGGTGACTCAGCGCCTCTCGCAGAGCATAAAAGCGGGCTGCGGGCAGCGGCGGGGCTGGGCTGGGCTGAGCGCCGCGGTCGGGGGCGTTGTGGCGGCCGTCGGGTCTGCTGGGAACGCGCCCGCGGGACGGGGACGGCGCGATGGGGATGGCCAAGCTGCGAGTGCTGTGCGCCGCCGTGGCACTGCTGTGCTCGGCATCGCCGGGGCATGCCGGCGCCGTGCTGCCCGCGGGCGAGGGGGACGGGTACGGGGTGAAGCTGTGCGGCCGCGAGTTCATCCGCGCCGTCATCTTCACCTGCGGCGGGTCCCGCTGGAAGCGGCTCTCCCTGCTGGCGGCGGAGCCCGCGCCCGCGGCCGGTGAGTGTCCCGGGAGCGGGGCCGAGGGGCGGGCGGCTGTCGGGGCGCTTCTCTCGGTGCCGAGCGACGGGCCGGCAGGAGGGATGCGGAGAACGGGAGGGAATGGGGAAGGGCGAGCGCCCCGCGGCGCCTCTCGCTCCTCCCGCCCTGAGCCGCGGGGGGAAGGTCCCCGTACCTCCCTCTCTTTCCCTCTAGATCCTAGTTGGCATTTCCTAGACTTTTGTAAAGACGCCCTGAGATTCAGAGGGAAAGGGACGGCAGGTGCTGGGGCATTATTTGCCGGGATAGTCTGCAAAGTTTTTGGTCAATTCGGAGATACCGCGCGGCTGCGCAGGGCTGCCGGCTGCAGAGGAGCTTCTACTACAAAATCCCACAAAATCACACTCCTCCCCTGTCTTGGCCATCTGGGGAGGTCTGATTCGCCCTGGGAAGCGGTGGGGAATGCCTGTCGCTATGGCTTCTCTCCCTTCCCAAGGCTCTGTAATTCCTCGAGCGGCTGAGCGAGGTGGGATTCCTGCCGGAGTTTCGCTCCCCGACGGGAGCTCTGGCGCCGCGCTGCCCGTCAGAGCTCCCGGGATGCGCTGGACCGCCACGGATCGGGAATCGCGGGCGATGTTGTCACCCTCTAGTGCTGCTCTGCATCAGAGTTGGCACGTTGGAGGATGGACTCTGGTGGTTCAGGTTACGATTGACACAGCAAGAACTGCTTTATGGTGAAACAGTTAGTGGGTAAAATATTCCTTGTAGTTTTCCTGTCTACTGTCCCAAGCCCCATATTAAGAAATTGTTAGTAGATGTCTTTTGGGCTGTATTTTCAAACTGCGGCAATGTAACAGTAAGTTTAAGTGATTTCTCTAATTTATTAGATATGGATATTTTGAATACTGAAAAATAACGTTTTTTAAAAGAACAGACGATGGAATTATGGCTGAAAAGTGCAATGGAAGAGATAATATTTTTCTGATTTTACACATTTTAGTGAAATAACCTAAGATTTCAGGCAGCTAATGAAAGCAGTATTCTGGGTTTTCTGGGAACTTTTCGCCTTCCCCCCCCCCCCCAACAGGTTGAATAAAAGATAAAAGTAGCTCTCGTAATTTTAACAAATTAGTTATTTACAACCTTTGTGGGGATTATGTTCTTTCCCAGCAAATTTGCTTTCCTTTTCATTAACAGCAGCTTCTGAGAGCAACAATCACTAAGGAGCCTCCACTGTGCTGCATGATGTCTAAGTAGAAGGCTTGTCCACCCCAAAAGACTGTTATTTAGCAGTCGCTGTCTAATTAATAAAGTAGCTACACCTACTTTTATTTTTGCACATACTCAGGCAGCTGTTCTATCTGAAAATTAGGTTCTATATACTAATTAGCAATATTTAAGTAAATACAAAATTTGCTGGATGTTCTCATGTTCTTTCAGCTTTCTGAAACAAAAAGTAACTATATCAACAGCATTAAATCACAAGACAAAGACTTGGTTTGGATTCTTTTAAAATTGAGAATTGAAGAAGCTGCTTCATGTTAGCTGAAATAAGCAATGCCACTTGCCTTGGAGAAGTAAAATCAAGAGAGTGTAAGGTGAAAGGAAGTAGGGCTGGATTTCTGAGAGCACTTTAGTCAGTGAGATGAAGAATGTTGTAAGTAAATTCTACAAGCCCCTGATATGCCTTGAGAAATTAAAGAAATGAGTGTACAACATCAATTAAAATAGCTATAGGAAAATGCAATATAAGAATCAGTTTACATGCAATCTTTGCTTTTTTTAGTCCTTCCTACATTTGTTCTTCACATAATGCTAGTTTGTGATTGTGTACAGGAGAGGAGGGGTCTGATGTAATTCATCAGACACACGACATAGCTCTATGGTGTTTCTGGATACATGTATTTACAACAAAATTCTGTTTCTGTGGAAAAATTTAGACTTTTCTGTCAATAACATTGCAGTTGTGACAGGGTGCCTTTACTTCAGTTACAGTTGTTTCTGTGTACTCTGCACGTCTAACAGCAGATATAGACTTTAAAACATAGATTCCACTAAAAGTCAGCTACAAATAAGTCACGGTGTGGAGACCCTGAAGTACCGACAGTTCTTCTACATAATAGTGTTTCACTTAGTACTAATTAAATGGGTTTTGTTGCTATTTCTTTGAGCTGTGTAATCCTTTTGGTGCTCCTACAGTCTGATTCTAAGATAATTCTTTTCTTTAAAACAGATTCTGCACAAACAGCAAGTAACAAACTACTGGGAAGCTTCAACCTACAATCAGTTTTGGATCCTGAAGTGGAGCAGCTGCAGAGAAGCAGTCCATTTCTCGGATGGGAGACGTTTAAGGACTTGTATAGTTTAAATTACTATAATGAATATGTACCTGTAGCAGGCGACTTAAAAAAACTTGTCCACCAAGTAGAGGAAGCTGCTCAGAAGGACAGGGAGGGAACGGGAAATGCAAATCCCATGGAATCAAGCAGCTACCTTTGGGCCAGGTATCCCAGAAGAAAACGAGAGTCTCTGGGTTTGGCCGGAATGTGTTGCAAATGGGGCTGTACAAAAGCTGAAATTAGTACTATATGCAGAGTTTAAAATCCTCTTTACACTTATGCATGAAATTAGTGTTTGTTGCAGTACTACTTGATTGATTACTTCATGGAGGAAGAAAACTCTTGCTGTATTCTATCTTGTCTATATGTGCCAGGCAATATAGCTGATTTTCTTTAATAAAAAACCCTAAAACAACAAAACAAAAAAATAAAAAAAACATAAATGTAATTGCAATGAGTTTGTTTTGCTGCAGTAACTTCTATATTTTTTACTAAGTCTTTTCATTTTAATGTTGAGCCTTTAAACTTATATTACAAATGTATTATATCTTTGTAACACTTTAAGAAGAACTTCAATATTTCATTAAAATGTAATTATACTAAGTGTTGCCAGATTATTCTTCCTTTGTCAAAAGAATGAATGTAGACTCATAGAATGGCTTGTGTTGGAAGGGACCTTAAAGATCACCTAGTTCCATTCCCCATGACATAGACAAGGACACTTTCCTCTGGATGAAGTTGTTCAGAGCCCCATCTAACCCTGACCCCTAACACTGCCGGGGATGGGGCAGCCACAGCTTCTCTGGGCAATCTGTTCCAGTGTCTCACCAACCTCACAGGGAAAAATTTCTCCCTCTTTCAGTTTGAACCCCTGACTTTTACTGCTACTAAGTTTCTAATGAAGAGTCCCACTCCAGCTTCCTTGTAACACCCAACAATATTAAAATGTGATTCCTGGTACCAAGCTGTACAGAAAGAATATCTTGCTAATTGAAACGCCACTTGACACTGACTCAGCTTGCTCATTATTTTGACTGCATGTTTTCCATTCCCTTGTAATTGCAGAATGATTTTTATGCAGTGTTATCTTTATAGAAAGTTTATTGCAACACATCACTTGCAGCCTGAATATTTTTTTAGTATTTATGCATAGGCTAAAATAGTTAGAGTATTAAAGCTTTAGTCATTCCTTATTTGCTTTAGTTCTCCATTTTTCCCTACTGCTGATAAGTAAGAGTGCTAGCTGTGCATCAAGTAACTTACTGTACAGATATTCAGAATCCTCCTGTGTGTGCTTAAGGCATACTGGTCTACACAAATTCAGATGTACTTACTGTATTTATGAATAGCTGATTTAATCGTTAGCTTCTAATCCTTTTGCCTTCCTCCATCTTTTTCTCAGCTGTAAAAAGTTGTATTTCCAGCTACACAGTTCATGAGGTGAGCATTTTGGTTTTCCTGACCTCTATGATGGTCATGGTAACTTATCTTTGTAGCTGTAGTTGACTCAGAGTATGCTTCAGGGTTTAGGCTGTGCAGTCGATGCTTTTGGATTTGTTCTCCATATTATCTTTACAAGTATTCCTTGATTGGACTACCGCTCTCTACAATTGCTGCATAATTTTTAATTTCTTAAGATATTATAGTTATTGCAGTAATTAGGCATTTATCCATCCTTTTTATTTATTTTTTAAGACATCAATTTTATTCAGTAGAGATTGGGCAGAATGGACAATCACTGTGAATGCTATTATCTTCCACATGAAAAGAACCATTTTTTCTGTCCTTGTAACAATATTGATGAAGAAATGTGTCATCTTAAACATCTTAGTTGTAGTGACTCTAAGATGCTTTTTCCATGCTGAGTGGAAAAAGTAACTGTGTGACTTTCTGCTGTAGTTTTGGGTGGGATGTTTTTGCAACAGATTAGCTAGATGTCTATAGCTTGGCTTCCAGCAACTTCTCTTCACATATAGTTTCAGGTTTGGAGACACCTAGTTTAAATTAGAATTTCCTAGAAGACTACAGGAGGAGTTGGAAGGGAAGTATTCCTTATTTTTGAGCAGTATCAAGAACTTTTGGAGTTAAGATTACGTGGTATTAAGGTGAGGATAAGAGGTACATAGAGTCCCTACGAAATGCCAAAATACAAAAATTCCATGAGAGAAGAAACTGAAATTTATCTTGCTAGAAAACTGTCTCCCAAACTTTTGAAAAGGAATATTGGAAAAGGTTAGTATGGTTATAGCAGGCTTGAGTGAAATAAATACGTAGTTAAAACCTTAAATTTATGAGTTTAAGCCTTGAATGGAACAATCTGTGGAGTTTAACTTGCTGGGTTAGATGCAAACCATTGGTAAAACTATAAATAGTGTGTGTAAGTGGAAATAGTGTGTGAGTGGAACTGTTTCAGGCTGAGATGGGATTAAAAATAGAAAAATCAGTCTTTATCTGATATAAACAGCTTTTTCTCAGAGGTATGAGTCAACCTACAGAAAAGGTGAAATTTGTGTTTTCCTCTGGTTTCTTAATAGGCCTCATCTGTAACAACTTTAGCAGGCAGGCCATGGCACAGGCAGGTGGCACAGACAAAGATTAAGTCTATTTTAGAGTAAGAAAATATTTTGCACAAATTACAGTGTGCAAAGGTTCCTTTCCTTCTTTCCTTTCCTTTCCTTTCCTTTCCTTTCCTTTCCTTTCCTTTCCTTTCCTTTCCTTTCCTTTCCTTTCCTTTCCTTTCCTTT